TAGACAATGGGGATGGCACACACACAGTGACCTACACCCCATCCCAGGAAGGGCCATACATGGTCTCTGTTAAATATGCTGATGAAGAGATCCCTCGTAGTTAAGCTCCTGACACTTAGGGAAGAGGTCCGTACCGGACTCATGCCCACTCCTCTGCAAGTTTGCCATCTCTCCATCCATCCATCCCTCTATCCATCCATCCATCCATCCATCCATCCATCCATCCATCCATCCATCCACCTATCCACCCACCTACCTCTCCTTCCTCCCACCTCCTTTTCTTCTTTCCAGCGTTTGTCCCGTCATTCATCAATGTCCCGGGCAGTTACCATATGCCACACTCTATGCTTGGTACATGTCGAGGGCTCTTTCTAAAATGCATACATACATTCACATCATGGCCTCCAGGAACTCCCCATTGCCCACGAATTACCACTCAGGTGCCTTTGCTCAGCCCCCAGAGAAACGGTCCAGACCACCTCCTGCCCCCGTCTCCCACCGTCACCCTGTAACTCGGGTCCCCCTCCAGGCTCTGGGCCCTTTCTCAGTTCTTCAGAACAAGCCATCTGCTCACCCTTTCATGCCTTTGTCCATATGCCACTGCTTGGAATGCTCCTGTCCCCCCCCTCGCCACAAGCGGCCCTATGAAAAGTAAGCGAAGCCTCTGGCTTCCTGGTGAGCGGCCCTCGATCCCAGAGGACTCGTCTCCCCTAGGACAGAGGGACCCAGGAGAAGGCTCAGTCTTGCTGCCGACTTTCTCACAGTCCAGCATGGGAGCCAGACACGAATGTGGGGTGTCCGGCAGGGGTGAGGCAAGTCTGCCCTGAGCCCACCCACTCACCCCATATGGCCCCTGAGCCCACGCCAAGCGGGGGTCGGGGACAGGCCGGGAGAGCATCGCATCCCTCTGCGATCCGGGGCCAGCCCCCACCTCGGGCCTCAGCGTCCCATCTATGAAGTGCAGAGGTGGGTGGCGGGTCCTCCCTGACCGCTGACCACAACGTCTCCCCGCTCCCCGCAGGAGAACTACAATGCCGAGTGCGAGTTTGTGGAGCGAATCCACGAGCTGGGCTACAACACGTACGCCTCCCGGCTGTACCGGACGGCGGCCAGCGGGCCCGGGGCGCGGCGCCAGCCCGGCGCCGAG